GAAGCCCTGGTGTGGCTGTGTTCCTTGTTTCCATGTCTGTGAGCAGCTGTTCTTGCAGGCTAATGAGTTGTTGCTTTGCATTTCACAGGGCCCAGTCAAGTTCATGATCTTGAGGCAGAATCCATTGGTGTGAATTCTGTCACCTTAAAATGGGAGGTGAATGACAGCGCTGCTGACACCTACACGTACAGGATAGAGGTTGTCAATGGTACATTTGTGAAGAATGTGCCATCTAATAAAACCAGAGCAGAAATTACTGGGTTAATCCCTGGGACACCGTACAACTTCACAGTATTTGCTGTAGCAGCTGATAATAAGACTGAAGGAGAAGGAGAGTCCAGAAATCTGTATACAAGTAAGGAAATGGTGCCTCCAATTGCAAATAACTGTGCTGTTTGTACCAAATTGCTCTGCTTTCTTACTTTGGGTTTTCAGCTTTTTCCTGTTTCTTGTTGTGACGTTGCTTTTCTGCTCCAGTTATGTGCGCACAGCAATGCAGCGATCTTTGCAAACGGACTGAAATTGTCTCTGTGTTTGCATTTGCCACCTGTAAATTGGTTATTTCATCAGCATGTCTGCTCAAGACTGTGTAGAGATCCAGCTGCTCCCACAGCTGGACTTTTCCTAGACACTTGAGGGCTGAACAGACCCCTCACAACGCCTCTGGGAGTGCGTTACCACAGCTCGTACCAAAAGATGTGGTGTGCAGGGATGTGGTGCCACAGTCACTGAGGCTTTTTTTCCTTAAAATTGTTTTGAGCTCTTTAAGAGTCTGGGGCCTGAGGTTCCTGTGGGCTGTGACTGACTCACTTCCTGGGGTTGCTGTATCAAGTATGGTGCCAATCCTTTTGGTTTTTTGCCAGGGCACCTTTTTCCTAGACTAGATAGATGGGATAGAAATAGATACTACTTTTATCTGTAGCTTAGAAATGCAAAGAGAACAGGCAATTTCCCTACAATGCAATTTAGAGGAGTGTGTCCTGGAGCTGCTGCTGAGTCTATAAACTTTTCTAAGCTGCCTGAAGCAAGTTTTATCTGTCTAGAATTGGTGCTGAGTCAGGCTTGCAGACACAGCCCCCTAAGATATGTCAGCTGTTGGACCTGTTCAAGCAGCCCAATTCTTTTTCCTGGTATTGAGGAGAGTTTAGGCTGAAGATCTCAAATTGAGACTCATGGGCACAATTTTGAGTTAAACAGATCAAGATCAGCTTGGACAGTTTCCTTCCCTGATTTCCATCTGTTTCTCTGTCTGGAAAACCACTGTGGAAACAAGTGATTGTTGGATATGAAATTAAATAGAATATTCCCCAAAGCTCCTATGACCTTTCCAGAGATGCCTCAGTGTGAATGCCGGAAATGGGGAAGTGAAGCTTGGCACCAGGTGATGCTCATTCTGTGTGGAATAGGAAAATGTGGCTGTGGCTCTTCTTTATTTCTTTTTTCTGATGGGTTGTTGCTTTGCCTTTCACAGGGACCAGCAAAGTTCTTGATCTCGAGGCAGAATCCATTGGTGTGAATTCTGTCACCTTAAAATGGGTGGTGAATGACAGCGCTGCTGACACCTACACGTACAGGATAGAGGTTGTCAA